GGTGCCGCACTAAAAAGTGTGGCACCGGTGACGCTGTTTTTGATTGGGCCACGTGGCGCTGATGTGGCAGTGACTGGTTTAATTAGCGCGACCCAAAGCCCATGAATAACTAGAACTGAAACCAACCCGGCTCTCCCACACTAATGGAGACTCCCTCTCCGTCAAACTTAAACGCTTATTCCTCTTTTTTCCCAAACTGTATTTATATTTTTATTAATTAAAAATTAAATTATTTTGTTTTCCGGACGATTGAGAAAACTGGTAAACAGGGGACGACGACGGACGAACGAAAAGTTGTTCCTCGATCTCCTTCTCCGACGTTCTCCCAAAATCGATTCGGTGACTTGTTCGTGGCCAACACCCATATCCAAAATCATCCTGCTGGCTTGTTCAAAGGCCAAGAAATCTGTATCTTCGGGGCCTCTGTGACCATCGAAGAGCGTTGTCGCCAAGTACCGGATCGAGAGACGCCCTCCTTCACTGGCGATCGCTCCAAAATCACTACAGTCACTAGTTCGTGCTCGATCCCATCTCCAAGGTCAACCTTACGCTTGGATTGTGTCGTACCCAACCCCTTCAGAGTCAGTCCTCTCTATTTTGTACTGTCTAAACTTCCCACGCCTGCTCATCTGTTAGCCAAGAATAACCTCTGCCGAGAGAATTTGTTCGCATCTCGGCAAATTGAGGTGATATTCTGCTCTTCTAAGTAAGTTATAGCTACTTTAATATTGCCCTTCTTCTCACTATACGGTCTTTTGAATGGTTGGAAAGGCTAGGCATCATGACTTGAAACATATATGGAGTCCTCATAGAACACTATACTATTGATTTCTTCTTCCAAAATGGCAATTCCAATATGAGGAAACCCACTTCTTAGCAAGGACAGTAGATGTTGCAGTTTCTTCAGTAGTTGACCTTCACACCTAATTCCTCTAGCATACAAACGTCTATAGCAGAACCCTATACTATTGCTCATACTAACTTCTAATAAAAAAAGATTCCCCAATCCAATATGCATATCATGTTCTAGGAGAAGTCCATATATATTGCAAAGATATTATGCCTAGGAATCCAATTGAAAGTAGCTATACCTTACCTTACCTTACCTTACAAGAGCAGGAATCCAACTAAAATTGTCGAGGCTGCAAAGAGATTCCCGTGGCAGAGGTTAGTCCTGGCCGACAGATGAGCGGGTGAGGGAAGTTTTTATACAAAATAGAGAGGACTGACTATGCAGGGGTCGGGTTCGCCGCAATCGACGCGTAAGATTGACCCTGTAGATGGGATAGACGCCGAGGGCAGGAATGATTTGGGAGCGACTGCCGGTGAAGGAGGTTTCGCTCCCCTTCTCCGACCTAGACTAGTCTGGTATTTGGCGGAGGCAATTTTTGTTGGTGACAGAGGCCCGTGAAGATACAAACCTCACCTCTGAACGAGTAACCGGCGTGATTTTGGAGATGGGATCGGCTAATAACAAATAACCGGAGTGATTTGGAGAACGCCGACGAAGGAGATTGAGGAACTCCTTTTTCGTTCGTCCCTCGACATCATCCCCTGTTTTTGCGTTTTTTCAATCTTGGAAACCCAAACGAATTGGAATACTGGACGAAGAATACATCTGATGAATTTGGTGGACGGTGTGAAGTTTGGATGAGCGACAGTTGAGCTCAGCAGAGCAGTTCGCTCTTTTCCGGTTCTGACAAGCGAGGGAATGAGGAAGACGACAACGATTCGTTTTTCCTTCCTTTTTTTCACAATAAAACTAAATGCTATAAAACTTAATGCAATTTAAAATTAATTACAGAAAGAAAAAAAGAAATAGGTAACAGCTGTTGGAAATTCCGTCTGTGGCTAGCGCTTCGATTTGGACCATTCTGAATTCTTATGGGTAATGGGCTCGAAATAATTAAACCAGCCCATCTACATCATCTCTACGTGGACCAATAAAAAACAGCGTCACCAGTGCCGCACTTTATGGGCCGTTTACTTGCCATTCCATTTCTGTTAGCTGCCACAACAGAAAACAAAATTAAAATGAAAACGAAGCTGACCATTTCCTGGAAAACAAAACCTGAAAAAACCTTGTTTAGCTGAGAATTTTGGTGAGTTCTGAAACTGAGTTCTAAAAAGAAATCCTGTTTAGTTGCTTCATTCTGTTTTCTGATTCTTGATTATCATACAACCCTAGCCATGATTATAACTTTTAATTTGAATTAAATAGTTTTTAAACTACAAATAAACACAATACAAGTACAACATCTTATATTAATTAAGTACTAGTACAACATAAAAATTCAAATAAGTCCAGCTTGAAAGTCATCCCACAACTTGTTTGCTATTCCATCTCGTCGTGCATCCATCGCTCGAGTTTGGCTTGAACTATGATTATATGCTTCTCGTTCTTGTCCTCCTTGCACTCCATTGGCATTCTCCCCCGTGCAATAATTTTGAGCACCTTCAAACAGAGTGTCATCACCAGAGTGGATCCTAATAAAGTTATGTATAACACAACATGCAAGAACAATGTGTCCTTGTTTCTTGAGAGCGAAAGGAGGCATATGCTTCAAAATGGGGAATCTAGCCTTCAAAACTCCAAAACAACGCTCGATAACATTGCGTAGAGATGAATGATAATAGTTAAAAAGTTGTTTACGAGTCTTTGGTCCACCTCCACGATCGATATCTTGAAAATGACGTGCTTCTTTTGTCTTATATGGCGCTAGAAACCCAGGAATGTTTGCATATCCAGAATCAACAACATAATACTTACCTATAAGATATAAAATCAATTAGTCATATGAAATGTGTACTATAATTACTAAAATAAAGAGACAATCATTTCGTACCTCGCGGTGGCATGGGAAAGTTGTTAGATGGGTTGGAAACTGTTTCAGTAAGAATTCTTGCATCATTTGCTGTACCCTCCCATCCAGCCATCACAAAGGTAAAGAGCATATCGAAAGAACAAACAGCCATTACATTCTGAGTAGTAGTCGTCTTCCGTCCTCGATATGGAATCTGCTCACCACTCGGAACCACTGCGTCAATATGAACTCCATCTATTGCTCCGATGCAATCCTGAATTCATGTGAGTAAGTGTCATAATTAAAGTATATTCGAATATTAATCCTCAATCATAAAGAGAATTGCTTACCTTGAAATATGGATCATGTTTTGAATCAATTATTCTTTCGGGAACAACTTCCAGATTTGGGGGAACAATGACTCTGTTTGCAAGTTTCACCACTGCTTTCAACACTAGATTAAAGTACTTTGAGATGGTTGCAGTAGAATGTTGAAACCGTTCTGCAAGGTCGCGGAAGTCATTTGCGTGACCTATAGTCTTGAGGAAGATTGCAACTTGTTCTACGACCATCACATTAGTTGTATCCTTCAACCCACCATGTTGCTTCAATTCCTCACACAAAGCAAAGAAAATTTCTTTATCCATTCGGAGTGATTCATATATCCTAATCGGATGCCCACGAAGAAGTTCTTGAACCCAAGCATGTCCTGTTTGCACTGAGGTTCTACATGGCATCCTAATAGACTTAGATCGCTCATTCTCCAACAAAGCCACAAGCATTATGAATTTCAACTCATCGGAATCTGAATCTGAATCTGAATCTAAATTCATAAGTTCTACAATGCATAATAACTTCATTAGAAATGGATAATAACCCAAATACAACACTCAAACATTCAATTACAACTTAGTTCGTAAGATTCTTACAATAAGAAAACATAATATTAAAAGTCATCAAACATCATGCTAAAATTCATAAAACATCACAGTAAGAACTCATCAAACACTCAACAAACAAATGTCACTGCAGTTCTCAACAAACACTCATAGTCACACTAAACTCAACAACCATTCTTTCCTTCTCCTCTTTGTCATACGCAAGAAAAGTCCTCTCTTCAGTGGACAATCATGTAGAACATCGAAAGCATTCACAAATACATTAGTCTCCACCTCCATTTCATCTAATAAATTCATGCATTCAGTCATAATGTCAAGCTCTTTATCCTGTGAAGATACATCATGCACAGGTCCTCCAACCAAAGAGGCTGCCTCCTTGGCTTCACGCCTCTCACTCTTCCTTTTGGAGTCTTCAGCCATGATGATTATGGCATTCTCCACTGCATTGGTAAAGCCAGATTTAGCTGCTTTTCTCTTCTTTCCTTTACCCTTCACTTTGGGCAACGTCTCCTTGGCACAACCAGAGACTCCACCCACATTTTCTTCACCATCAAGATCCACATCAATCCCTTTGCTAGGTCCACCACTACTATCTGAGACCTCGTGAGTAGAAGCAACAGCATTCGCACCAGAGGCAGTTGTATCACCAAATAATATGCACAGGTTTTCATACTCTGGACATCCATGCTTCCTAATAGTCCCCATCATCTTGTATCGCTGCAAATGCAACATTCTAATCAATTCCTCTTTTCTAAATACTACTTTCAATTCAATCACAATGACTAAAAATGTCAATTACCTCGTTCCACACCTTCCACTGCTCATCAGAGGCAGCAATCCTTCCTGTTACAGAAGAGTAACTAATTCCAGTCTGGCTGATTAAGTCCTTGAATTCCCGGTGTTTCCTCCTCATCAAATTAAATTTATTCTTCAACTGATCTGGGGCATAGTCCTTGTTGAACTTAATCTTCAACCCATTTACGATGTTGGACCATCCCAATTTAGTGAAAGTTGTCGTATGTTTGTTCCCCTTCTTTACTTCCTCGAGCATCAAAGCAATAAAATACTCGACTACTTTATCAGGCCAAGCCTCGGATCCCTCAAGTATGACACAATCATTATTGTTTACGACATCAATATCAGCCATCGCTTATCACGCTACAATTCAATACGAAATAAGATATCACCAACAAATTGACATCAAACAAAACAAAAGAAGACATCATTTGCAATCAAAACAATAAAGCAACAAATCTGTCCAATGTTCACAAAACATTACCAAGCCACTCCAATTCATCATCACAAGCAAGCATGGATTGGTCGCTGGCAAGGAGAGTAAGTACCTGGAATCGGCGACTGGAGCTCTCTGTTGGAGGAAGTCGGGGCGCCGGCTGCTGCTTCTACTTCTTACGGGTCGCTAGCAGGAGAGGCTGGAGGGAGTGGGAGGAGAGGCTGGAGGGGGGCGAGCGAGATGTTGATGGCGGCGAGGTGTGGCGGATGGAGGGCGAGCGAGATGTTGATGGCGGCGAAGTGTGGCGGATGGAGGGCGATGGTGGGAGGAGAGGAAGACGATGGCGGCGAGGTGGGAGGCGAGCGAGATGTTGATGGCGGCGAGGTGGGGCGAATGAAGCGGAAGGAGAGGCTGGAGGGAGGAGAGGAAGACGATGGCGGCGAGTCGAACGTGGAGGGAGGAGAGGAAGACGACAGTTCTCTTCTAGGGTTGCTGGAGAGAAACGACATCGCTTAGGAGGGCAAAAACGGCAGCGCTTAGGAGGGCAAAAAAGGGTAAAAAAATGCGTCTGTGGTGAATCGAACTCAAGTCGGTTTGAGGGATTAGTATGTTTTCCGCTGGGAAACGGGGGGATAACCCGTCCCATTATATTCAGAAAACGAGTATTAATGGTTTTCCCAATTGTAATAATTGGGGTTTTCCAAGGAAAATGGAATGGTCAATTGAACACGTTTTAAGTCCATTTGTTTCCTGATTTTCATTTTATAACCAAAAAACAGAAAAAGAAATGGAAAGTGAACAGGGCATTAGTGTCCGCCTAAGATGGAAAACGAATGCAAGTTGAGAGACCTGGGCTCTCACCCTGGGAAGGCTCGAATTCATCGAGCAGATGGGCCGGGGAGGATCCAAAGTCCAACGCATCCCAACACGTTGAAAATCCACAAAGCGAGTTCTTCTTCCCCCCAGCCGAACCCTTTCCCGCCAATACAGCCGCTCCCTTGGCGCCATTTTGGCCGCGACTGAAACTGGGACCAATATCCCTGGGGGAAAAATCAGAATTACTTACTGCCAAATCGTTCCCTCTTTTCTCTGGTCAGCGTCGGCAGTTGCATCCCTCTCTCCCCATTCTCACATCTCGAGCCGGCGTTCCGTTCATCCGTGGCTTGTGAGTGAAATTACTAGGCCAGCGAGCAGCGAGAGAAAGAATGGAGATAGTTCGTCGTCCTCAACTGAAGTCTACTGCAATCGATCGCGGCGTTCCAACTCTTCCGCTCTACCGCTCGGCTCCATCTCTCGAAGTCCGGCTCGAGGATTTCGAGCTCTACGCCATAGATCGACTCCGAGGTCTTTCTTTATAGCCATCGCTTTCATCTTTTTTCTATTGTTATTTATTTTCCGATTCGATTCGTCTCCCTAACTCCCGGTGTCTTGATTTTTGCAGTCCTCACGGGCATTTCCGATGGATTGTCTCGCGGGAAGAGGCCCGAGGAAATGGAGAAACTGGTCAGAACAGTAGCCCGGATCTTCGGCTTATTATTAGGTTTTTGAAACTGGAATTTTTTCGATGAGTTTCTAATTGATTTCCCTTTGCAGGTCGCTGAACTGTGGAAAGCGAACATGAGGCATCCCCAAGCATCGGAGGTCATGAACAAGGATATCATCTCTCATTTCGTTCTCCGTCTTGTCTACTGTAGAACGTATGGTTTATGCAGCTTCTCTTTCCACCGCTTGCGCCCTCTCTCTCGATTATTGTTGCTTCCATTTCCTTGCTTATCGTGTCCGAATCCTTGCTCACAGGGAAGACTTACGGAAGTGGTTTCTTTCCATGGAGACGGCTCTTTTCCGCTATAGGTTCCGCCTTCAGACGGCTGAAGCTCAGGTGATAAGAATGAGATCTTCATTAAACCTTCTTCTATTCGTGGTTTCTCTGAGAATCTGTTTGCTAACTGAGCTTGTTGGAAGCTCACAGAGGGCTGTATTGGCTGAGTTTCAACTTCCTTACAAGGCAGTCACTACGTCAGAGTTCGAGGTTATTGGCGCCTTTTCTCTCTCGTTTGAATTCATGTTTCAGCACAAAGCTAAGTCGATTCCAAAATGTGAATGTGAAATCATGGGGTTCTTTTGTTTGACAGGTTATAAAGGACAAACTGACTCTAGTTGCCCGTTCAATCAACCAAACTTTACCTACAGCTGATGCTATATTTTACAAGGTATATTCCTCGAGCTGTTAAAGCTGGTATATGATTAATTTTTAATGTGCTGGGGTAGTAGGGGTTTGATTTGAAGTGTTTGCATATGATTGGCATCTTGCTGTTGATCAAGTTCGACGTATCTTGTGCTTGCTTGCATTTGATAATGCTTAGAGGGAAGCAGTAGGGAATAGATTACACTATAGCAATCACAGTCTCATATGTGTAGGAATCAACCTTCCTTTGCCTTATTCTGGATGAAGTCAGTCTTCTCACAGTGATTGATATATCCTTTGTACTTATTACCCTCTACTGAAGGTTCCATTTCAAGAAGTTCCCGAACTTGTGGCTGGCCGTAGAGTTTTCCTAAGCGATGGGTATGCTTATGTCGCCATGAATCAGGTAATGCCATTTCTCCAATGTACATGATTTTGCCACATTGACATCCTCATATTTTATTTAAGCTAGTCTGAATTCACATTTTAGGTCGTGTCTCTTGTGGCCACTCAGTTTCGAAGTCTTCTCTCCAAAGCGCTCACTCTAACTAACAGGTTAGTGCTTTCCGTATGATAGCCCATAGGTGAATGGAGTCAAAAGGTTCAGCCTGAGAATACTTTTCACTACATTAGATGTTTGTTTGTCTCTATGGTATTCGTTTTAACCTGAACTCGTATGAATTCAATATATATGTTTCCAGGAAATGGATGTCTACCATTAGAGAACAGGAGAAGGATAGGTTAACTCCTGTGAGTATACAATCACGACTACTGGAGGTTCACTTGGGTTTCAATTCTTACTTCATTGCTGAACATTCTCTTGGTTGCTTTCTGTTAGATCGTGGAAGCCTTATCAATGAGCTACGTGGGTCCTGACTATTCTGTGGTACTTCTCACACCTCTGTATATGCTTGCAACTATCCTTCAGTGTTCAGTCTGTGACCTTAGCTTTATATAACCACGAGGGACATCTTTGCAGGGAAGGGAATTTGGTGAGTTGTCGCTGAAAGACATCGACAATGTGGCCAAGAGCTCGTTTCCCTTGTGCATGCGCCATCTATTTGACAAAGTAAGTTGTTCTGTTGGTTTACTTCTATTTTCTCAGGAACATGGCTGGCATTTGCATTTGATTGTAGTTCATCACATTTCTACGTCCGCCGTTAGCCTTTATGGGTCTTGGCTTCTTACAATTGGTTCTTTGTGTTCTTTTTGGCAGCTCAGAGAGGATCATCATCTAAAGCACTGGGGGAGAATGCAATTGGGTCTCTTTCTCAAGGTTATTCTTAACTCCATTGGCCTGTTCATGGAGTTCATATGGAACCTCAGCAAGCTGCCCCACCCCTTAACATTGGCTTTCACTTGTTATTTGTCCAATCCTTTGATGCAGCAGCCAATGGCGTTGGTTCTAAGTATATTGCTGCACTGAAAACTTTGCTCACTGGTTCATTTCTTCGTGTTAGGGAGTTGGGCTGAAGTTGGATGATGCGCTTGCTTTCTGGAAGGCAGAGTTCTCTCAAAAGGTAAGCTAATTCCAAGCATTTTTACTGGGCATATCACTGAAGAATGTTCGTTGTTACTTACATGTTTTGTTACAGGTTGGAGCAGAGAGATTTGATAAAGAATATGCATACAGTATTCGGCACAATTATGGCAAAGAAGGGAAGAGAGTGGTGAGTTTCCGATGTTATATCAGTCTTCTTCCTTTGAGTAGCAAATCAAATTATAGGACATACCTTAGTTACGTGTACACTTCTTTGTTCTTGGTTATTGCAGGACTATACGCCTTACTCATGTCAAAAGATCATCTCCTTAACTCCTAGTGTAGGAGATCATCACGGATGTCCTTATCGTCATTTTAGGTAAACTCCATTGACTTATTCCCTGTGGGTTGTTTCTGTCATCTCATGGAATTGGTCATAATAGTCATTTCCTCCTACCTCAACTTGATTGCCGAGTATCCAATCAATCGTTTTGAACCAAATCTACACTCAATATGAGCTACTAGTCTCCAACTATAGAACTAATAGGTTCTAGCTTACTACCCATTCGGAACCGACTTTTTTTTTTGAATAAACCGACCTTTTCTCTGACAGGTACGGGACAAGTTTAGTGGAAACGGATTGCAGTGTTTCTATAAATAATAGAAGTGGCTCTGTCTAATAGAGAATGTAGTGGAGAAACAAAATACTAATTAATTAGAGTGAGACCCATTTCATTTTTTTGGATGGATTGTATGACAAGCATGTATTGTAGACTATTATGAAATATAATAGATTATTTTCTTGCAAGTGGAATTGTGAAAATTATTTGACAGGAAAAATTTGTAGAATTCATGTTATGTCAAAATCTGTGTTTGTTTTGCAATGATTGTGGTGAACTCTTGATTTTTTTGGATTTATCCAAAGATTATATGGAGTCTGAATAACATAATTTTGTGCTAAAATTAAACAACAAAAATATGCATTGTGAACAAACATGTATTCTAACCATAGTAGAGAAAATATACGCTTGTCATCCGATTCTTAAACGATTCCTACGATGCAACTTTTGATAGTCATTGGAAAGCTCAAGTTTTAGGTCAAGTGGATACTAGTTCCCAATTTTCATCCTGTCGATGCAACACAACAAGAAATGTATCTGAAATGAAATAAGTTGGGTTTGGAACCATTAGAATTTACTTTTTTTGTTGGTTCCAAACGAACTAATATGATTTCTATTGTTTTTGTTGGTTCCAGACTAACTGTAAAGCTTCGAAGCTTCTTGTTTATTTAATGGTATCCGAGCCACTTTGTCTTCTTGTCAAATCTTTTAACTTCACTGTTCAATTGGTGGGTAAATGTCAGCGAAGAGAACTTAAGAGCGGCACTGTGTAAGATGGGAGTAAACAGTGGCGGGGTGGAGGATGTGATGGACAAAGTGCGACATAAGCACTATCAGGTCATCATCAAAATCACTAGTGGTGCTCTGCACTTGCTGTTTGTAATCTTTTACCCTCGTTATTTAACTAACATTTGTCCTGGGCAGTTAGCATGCACGTTAACATTCGAAGCCATCCATGGCTGTCCAAACGACGCTGGAATTAACCATCCCAATCAGTACTTCAGCGACAGCCAGAAGATACTAAAGTCCAAGGTAAAATGCCTGAGAATATCTTTTCTTCTTACTAGCGTCATTGATTGGGAATTCCCGCCCATTTCAACGGTGCACAGTTTACACCCATAGATGGTGATTTAACTTCCATCTGAGTGCTTCATAATTACTTTGGTGGTACTTGGGTTTTGTCTGGATAGTCGAAAATTGATATCAGTTGGTTTTATGCGGTTCACATGCTCACAGCTCGCATGAAATTCTCCAGAGTAGAATCTAGCTGGTTTCCCATGATTTAGGAATAAGCTCAACAATAATGTGTTATTCCATCGACATAATCTCATTAACCTACCTCTGCTCGTTGGTTCCACTTGGCCTTTAATGGACACATTAAATATGAATACTGGTGGCTCTGGTCCATGAACTTGCACGCTAATTCTGCCTCTACTGTACTTTTCTGTTAAAACCTTGATATTGCGTCAAGCGAAAGGTCCAAGTGCTTTTTAAAAAAAAAATATATTTACATCAAGGACATGGATTTGTTAATGCCGTGGTCATTGAGATTCGGCTAATGACTCGCAGGTTCCTTCGACCGCTGAGTAGCTTTTGGGAATTGTGATTACGTTGTTTAGATCATCAGGTGTTTCCAGGTATGTTCTAATTTACTTGAAGCACCGAACATATCTGCTTCATCCTTGTTATTGGAACGTTGTTCCCTGCAATTGTTGCATGTGTAATCATTAGAATCAACGTTAAGGGCCTAAATATGCAGGAATTGATCCGTGATCTCACTTATTAGAAGAGATGTGGGGAGTAGAAGTGCAAGCAGGCCATGTGTTGTACTTTTGCACCAGTGACTGTTGGGCGTAGCTTAAGATTAGTTGGCTGTTGATGGCTTGGGGTGGTTAAACTGAAGTTTGATTACTCTACGCAAAATAGAATCTTCGTCTGATTCCAACCAACCTTGGGACACCTGACAGGCAGACTTCAGCTTAACGTCCTCTAAAAAGGAAAGGCCTAACCAGTAACCACCGGAACCTTTGAGATACGTAGCTTTTAACTGCCGACTGTTGGCATTAGGCGTTCCTGTTGGGATAGGTTCACACCCACTATTTGCATTCTATTAGCTGAGATGTATGAATCACACTCTGCAAAGAAACTGTGTTTATTTATTGTATGTATTTTATATCGCACCGCATCAAGACCCAAACTAACCAGTGTATATGTTACATTCCAAATTTCGCTTTCAGGTCTGATTTTCCAACTCATGCATACATATATGTGTTCAAGGTTCAGTCTCTTCTAGATTTATTGAAGCCATCGCACAGACCAGTTGCCATCATTTCCAGCAGAGTAGAACAAAGATGCAGAGGTGAGTTGGTGAAGAAGGTTTTACTGAAGATTGAAGAAACGCGTTCCGGGACTTGAAGACGATTAGTTATATAGTGCGCGTTTCGAGCCTTCGTCCCAAAATGCAGTGCTTTACTTATTTTATAGTCAAGAAGTAGTTTTAGTGCAGTTAGTTTATTATTTATCTATCGTTGTTTGCCAGTGGCATTGTAATAGCTAAGTAACCCTTAGCAAACAGTAAATCCGGAACTAGTATAAAATGCAAACGAACTTAGCTGCTCTGGTTGAGGGTTTTCGATCCGCCTCTTGCCTATTTCTATACTTTTCTACTAGCTTTTGAACCGGCCCATTGGCCGCTAATTTCTCAATCTCTCACAAGCGTTAAGCGTATGATGGCAAGTTGAGTATTTTGGTTTTGGATGCAAACTAGGTGGAATTTGTTCATGAGAGTATATATTTGGGTAAATGACAAATTTGGTCACTGGGTTTACTAAAATGTAACATGTTTAGTCAGTAGAAACAAAATAATATCAATTTTGGTCACTCAAATTAGTAAAACGGTCCACGTTTAGTCTCTCTCTTAACTTTATCTTATGTGGCAGTCAACTCTAACATTTGACCGTTAAATGTCTGACGTGATAATTAAAAATTAATAAAAAATATATTTAATTCTTTTAATATTTTCACATCATTAAATAATAAATTAAAATAAGTGAAACAAAAAAATTCCCTACTCGTTGTTTATTGACAATGGAAGAAACTGTGACCGATTCCATATAAGCATGGTTGTCAAACCGGTTTCATGCCGGCCGGTTCAACCGGTACCGGTCAGCAAACCGGCTGGAAAGGGGCCGGTATTTAACTGTGGTCAAATCCGGTCAAATCCGGAAATTCCGGCCGGTTAGACCAGAAACCGAGATTTAGTGGTACACACATTATATCCAAAAATAAACATCCTCCATAGGATTTGAACCAAGTACCTCATGTTCATTTAAGTTTAACTCACACACCAGTAGGCTACAAGCAATTTTGTTGTCTATATTAACCTTATATGTTATATATCTAATACTAAATTTTACACAAATCATTATAAACATTAATTAAATTCATTTAATAAATTTTTTTTAAACATCTAATTGTTTAGTATTAGTTATCAATTCTTGGCTATAAATTATTTTGTGTGAAATAATTCTTCTAATTGCTTTTTCATGATTAATTTATTTGGAATTGAGGATTTCCATTTTCCTCATGTATTTTATTAAAACCGGCACAACCGGCATGAATACTGGTTGTACCACGGTCAGACCATTCCACTTACAAAACCGGCACACCGGCATAAACCGGTTTGACAACCTTGCATATAAGTGATGACTGAAAGGTGATACAAATAAACCCAAATCAGCCAATCGTACAAATTTGAGGAGGCCAACAACTTGTGGCCGCACATAGGTAAACAATTATGTGCTAAAACGGTCTATAATAGGAAAAGGAAACCTACTAACATTCTAGATAAACTTAATTAGGATTGTGTGCAAGTTCTGGGAATTAAATGCTAACATAATTCCTTTGTGCTTTGTAGGAACCGCGCCACATCAAAAAGGTTTAGCCATTTGGGAAGCAGGAGTATCCATGTGGAGATTCTGTTGTAATCATTATAGCTAGAGTGCAGAGATCAGAATCTTGCATACCACAATCAGTTGCAGACAAACTTGGCTGAGGTAATGCTGAAATAGAAAAACAATGGTAAGAGAATATTATATATTGGTGACAATATAGGAAAACACATGTAATAAGGCAAATAAGAAAAACAAAGTCAGAAATGGTGAAGTAATGATAGACATACTTTCAACATTTATGTACCAGCCGTAAAAAGGATATGCAATGCCACTTTCAATATGCTCTTGGTCGAATGACTATATCAAAAAGGTTTAGCCATTTGGGAAGCAGGAGTATCCATGTGGAGATTCTGTTGTAATCATTATAGCTAGAGTGCAGAGATCAGAACCTTGCATACCACAATCAGTTGCAGACAAACTTGGCTGAGGTAATGCTGAAATAGAAAAACAATGGTAAGAGAATATTATATAGTGGTGACAATATAGGAAAACACATCTAATAAGGCAAATTAGAAAACCAAAGTCAGAAATGGTGAAGTAATGCTAGGCTTACTTTCAACATTTATGTACCAGCCGTAAAAAGGAAATGCAATGCCACTTTCAATATGCTCTTGGTCGAATGACTATAAGTCATGTAAATAAAAAATGGCAATACAGTTGAACTTGCAAACATCTCTTTAACCTAATAATCATACGAATCCCATAGCAGTTCCATCCAACCCAGTCAAAGCAAAGGGTATGTATACTACGAAACGAACAACCAAACTTTCACATACAGAGTAGAGAAGCTAAGAAAACAAAAATAATAACATGCCCTTATTTTGTCCCTGCTAAGCTATTAAGTAACCATAATTACGTGGGTAAGGGCAACTAAGGTCGAGAGCATAGCAGCAATGGTATTCTAATAACAGATTGAAATCCCATTTTCAATCCCAACGGTCGTTTCCATCTACGTCGACGTTTTGCTCTTTTCAGAAGACGACCGCTCTGCCCTGCGTTTTGGAGACTTGTAGATCAGTTGCAACGCCACCGTTTCACTTTACCATTTCTGTAGTTCTTTTCCTTCCGTTGCAAGACAGTTTGTTTCCTTTCCAAGCTACAAAACAATGCTTGTAATGAAGCTTGTCTTCACAGGTTGGTTCAGCCTATAAGAGGCAGATTGATGGAATGAGAACACAGGTTTTTAGGATTTCATTTGCCTTCTCTCTTACTTTGTTGTTATGGTATCAGAGCCTCCAATGGAACCCTAGCCGCCACAGTTTTCTTGGCTGATAATCAAGCCGATCCTCAATAGGCTGAGTAACAAAATGCACAGCCTGCTCCCCCACAACCTCAAATTCATAATGATCCCTTGTCCGACCCTTTCTTTCTACATGGTTCAGACCAACCTGGCACTCTACTTGTTGGCGACCTTCTCACCCCCACAAATTACAATGACTGGAGCAGAGCCATGCTCAATGCTCTTGCAGCCAAAAACAAGACTGGTTTCATCAATGGTACAATACCAGAACCAGCAGTTACAGATCCTCGCCATGGAGCCTGGACAAGAAACAATGTCATGGTCCTTAGTTGGCTTCAACAAGCCACTTCATCTGAGATTAGGAAAACCATTCTCTCCAGCAAGACAGCTTCTGGAGCGTGGCAAAGCCTACAAACAATGTATGGCTCAGGAGATCTCATTCGAATTGCTGAGCTTGAAGAAGCTTTATCCACCCTACAACAAGGTAACCAAACAGTCACAGAGTATTATGGTCGTGTGATTACTCTTAGAGATGAACAAGAGAATTACCAACCCCTCTTACCTTGTTCCTGCACTCCAACTAGTCACAATGATTGTGCTGCCATGATAAAGGTTTTACAATATCAAGAGACTAGCTATGTCATCAAATGCCTTCATGGTTTGAATGAGAACTTTTCTGGAGTTAGAGCTCAGGTTCTATTTGGTGAGGAACTTCCAAACATCAATAGAGTCTTTCAACGCATGCTGCAGCATGAAAGACAGATTTATGGCACTTAATATGGCAAAATGATTGCTTCCCTGAACATTAAACAATTAGTTCTTGGTTTTCAACCTGGGAACAGAAGGATTTCTTAGAACACGAACCCCCTTACTGCACCTTTTGTAAAAAGGAGGGCCATACAGAAGATATATGCTTTCAGAAGCATGGTTGGCCTCCTGGCATGTCCAAACCATCCATTCCCAACACTGGTGTTACTGTGATTTGCACTCACTGCAAAAGAAGAGGGCACTCTGAGGACAAGTGCTTCCAGAAACATGACTATCCTCCAAATTTTGTTCCTAGAAATCCTTCTTCTGGTCCTCCAAGAATAAGACCTACAGTGAATCTATCTTCTGCTTCCTCTCCAAGTGATGAAGTCAAACTTACTCGTTCAGACTATGACAAGTTAATGAACATGGTGAATCCATCAAGAGATTCCACTTCCTTCTCATCAGCTGCCTATGTAACTCAGAAAGGTATTCTTCCTCTCCCACCTCTAACTCTGCCTATATTGAATGCATCTACATTTGTCCAACCCAAATGGATAGTTGACACTGGAGCATCAGATCATATAGTCTGCTCTTTGGATTATCTCCACAATTCAAAACCTTTCTCCCACATATACATCACCCTTCCAACTGGAGAGCAGATTCAAGCTACACATTCAGGCACAACAATCTGCAGTGAAGATTGGTTCTTTATGATGCCTTGTTTGTTCCCCATTTCACCTTCAACCTGATTTTAGTTAGCAGACTGACTTCTCATAACTCGTTATGCTTAACCTTTAAATCAACCACTTGTCTTATACAGGATCTGAAGCAGACGAAAGTGATTGGTTCTGCTAGTCTCAGGAATGGCCTTTACTACCTTCAAGCTTCCATTTCTCCAAAGTTGGTTTATGCTGCATCCTCCACCACCTTTGACTTATGGAATTTTAGATTAGGGCATGCTTCCCATTCTAAAATTCCATTTCTCAATCAATTATGTACCTCCATTTCAACACACAAGGATCAACCCTGTGATGTCTGTCATTTTGCTAAGCAGAAAAGACTACCATTTCCCTCCAGCTAGTCTGTAACTCACTTTCCTTTTGAACTTCTCCATGTAGACATTTTGGGACCCAATCCAGTTCCCACATATGATGATTTTAGATACTTTTTAATTGTTGTTGATGATTACTCTTGCATGACTTGGATAATCCTATTACATCTTAAGTCAGAAGCCAGACCTAAACTCATCTCCTTCTGCAATCAAATGGAAAGACAGTTTCAAACCAAAATCAAAACCATTAGAAGTGACCAAGGTAAAGAATTCCAAATGGATGACTTCTTCAATTTCATAGGAATCATTCATGAAATGTCCTGTGTAGAGACACCCCAGCAAAACAACAAGGTTGAAAGAAAACATCAACACATCCTTGATGTTGCCAAGGCACTCCAGTTCCAGTCATCCTTACCAAATACATTCTGGGGAGATTGTGTCAAACATTATGTCTGTTTAATCAATAGAGTTCCTTCCTTTGTTCTTTCCAACAAAACACCATTCGAACTCTTAAACAACAAACCACCAGACCTAACAGACCTAAAGGTTTTTGGATGTCTTTGTTTTGCGAGCACCATTGCAAACCATAGGAAAAAGTT